TGCCAACCATGTGGTTCACAGTCCAGTGCTGATCATACAGTGCCACACTAGGAGTCTATATATAGGTTCCACAAAAGTAAAATTAAGTATTTTTGAGTTTCCACAAAGTAACATTAACAATCCCACTTCTACTGTATGCTACCCATTTCCATGTCTCCTCCTTTCCCAACTCTTCCTGTCTTGTAAACTCAGTCCTTGGGCAAATGTTCTCCTCTTTGGACCAAAACTGGATGTTAAGCTTATAGCACACAACAATGATAACAGTGATTGACTGAAAATGAGGGGGTGAGTTCAGTTTCAAACCTGAAAGGTGAGTAAGAGTCACAGTTGTATGGGTTCCACCAGTCTCCATCCAACCAATAAGCCTGACCTTTTTTAATTTTGAGTTTTTGTTCCATATTCTTCTCTCACTCTACCCAAGACGTCCAAATGTAACTTTTTTCAGAGTGTTTGGTAGTGGTAGTCAGGTAGTATGTATTTCTTCTGGTCTCGGGTCATGAAAGATAAGATTCATATGGCTCAGTGCTGATCTTGTTAACTGTTGTCCAGTCAATTCTGACCCTGTACAGGGTTCCCAAGGAGAAGCTGGTGGGATTGAATGAACAACATTGTGGTTTGTCCAGTGCCACACCAACTCCATGGTCCAGTAGTCCCTTAGGGTTTTTTCTGCTGTTATTTTATTTTGTAATTTTCTTTGGACTAATTTTTTTTTTTCCCTGTAATTTTTTCTTCACTATTCCTTGTTCCAGATGGATACAGACCAACATAAGAGGGCTTCAAAAAGTTTGTGGGAAAATGGAATTTAAAGATAACAGAATTGTTCCATGAATTTTTTAAAGATCCCTTGTAAGCTAAACCTTAGATGGTCACTCACAAGTTTATAAGACCCCAGTGGCTACTTGCCACAATAGGGTATATGACATTATTTTTGTGGACCATATTGTGCCATTTAACTTTAATGTCCAGAAACTATGGTCCTGAACCCCAAAGTCCAGTAATTCATTTCCACAAGGTGTTTGGCTATGATTAAGAAATTTTTATAATTTTTCCCCTGTATGCTCTTCAGTGTGGGTTGCACCTCAGTGTAAAGAAAACAAAAATCCTCACAACCGGACCAATAAATACATCATGAAAAAAGAAGAAAGGATTGAAGTTGTCAAAGCATTAGATTCACTATCAACACTCACCGGCAGCAGTATTCAAGAAATCAAAAGGCATACTGCATTAGGTACAAGACCTCTTTAAAGTGTTAAAAGAGCACAGATGCCATTTTGAGGATTAAGGTGTGCCTCACCCCAGCAATAACATTTTCAATCCCCTCACATGCATGTGAAAAGTTGGAAAATGAATACAGAAGTCCATAGAAGAATCGATGCATTTGAACTGTGGTGCTGATGAATATTGGAAGTAGCATGGCTGCCAAAAGAACAAATAAATCTGTCTTGAAGTACAGCCAGAATGCGCCTTAGAAGCAAGGATGACAAAACTTCGTCACTTGTACTTTTGCCATGTTGTAAGGAGGGACCAGTCTCCAGAGAAGAACATCATACTTGGTAAAATGAAGGGGTCAGTGAAAAAGAGGAAGACCCCCAAGAATCTGGACTGACACAGTGGCTGCATCAATAGACTCAAACATAAGAATAGTGAGCATGGCGCAGGGTCAGGCAGAGTTTCATTCTGCTGTACAAAGGGTCATTATGAGTCAAAACTGACTTGATGGCACCTGGCAACGACAACATGCTTTACCATATTCATGGATATATTTGCAGAAATATAATGTAAAAACATCCTATGTCAAATCTATAAAAGGGGACTTTAAAATCATCATGGAAAAATTCCATTATTTTTCATCCTTTTTTTCAATAAAATATTTGAAGCCTCCTTGCATATATGTGAGCACAGTCCTCTTTATCCTTCCCACACCTGTTCAGCTTGTGTTAACAACCTATATAGCTACTTATTGTTGTTGAGTGCCGCCAAATTGATTCCGACCCACAGCGACTCTATATAGGGTTTCCAAGGAGCAACTGGTAAGCTTGAACCACCAACTAACCTTGCAGTTCAAACAACTTTGCAGTTTGACACAATAACCCACAGCGCCCCACCAGACGGGACTCCATAATTACCTGTAGGTTATTAGTACATTGTTGTTGTTGTTGTTAAGTGCCGTCGAGTCGGTTTCGACCCATAGCGACCCTGAATAGGGTTTCCGAGGCTGTAAATCTTTACAGGAGCAGATCGCCTCATCTTTCTCCCGCGGAGCAGCTGGTAGTTTCGAACTGCTGACCTTCCGGTTCGCAGCCCGATTCGTAACCACTACGCTACCAGAGCTCCTTACTGTTATTATTATTGCTGTCTTGTCTATTTAACAGGATTCACCTCTGTGGCCTGTAACTTTTATAATCCTCCCACTGTCTTCCACTGTCTCCATCATATTAATCCAAGTTAACATGTGTTTACTTTCTAGTGGGGGTCCTTGTGTGGCACTATAAGATAAGCATTGTACTGCTAACCACATAATTAGAAGTTCAAATCCACCAGCTGCTCCTTGGAAACCATATACAGAGTTGCTATGAGTTGGAATTGATTCGATGACACTTAAAAACAAAATCAAAATCCTCTAAATCTACTTAATGACTTACCCTCATTTCCTATCCTATTGGTGCTAACAATCAAAGAATTACAATTTTGTCTGTGTGTGGCATTCTTTTCTTGATTTTTTATAATAATAGTCTCATACAATATTTGTCTTTTTTAAGAGTAATTTCACCGAGCTAAGACCACCAGGTTCATCTAAGTTATGAGGGGGTTTCACAGATAGTTTTTCCTTAATGTTGTATAGTATTCCACTGTGTGCATGTACCATAGTTTGTTTATCCATTGTTCTGTCAATGGGCATTTAGTTTGGTTCCACATTTTTGTTATTGGGAATAGTGCCACAATGAACATGGGTGTGCATATGTTTATTTGTGTCAAAGTTTTTATTTCTCTAGGATACATACCAAGTGAAGGCATTGTTGGATCATATGGTACTTCTAGTTCTTAATTTTTTAGTATGGCCTCTGGTTTTATACACACACAAATATATATTTAAATTGAAGGAGCTCTGGTAGCGTAGTGGTTACGAATCGGGCTGCGAACCT